GTTTTAGTGGGGGACTGGTTGGACTCAGTGATCTTAGAGATCTTTTCCAACCTGAATGATTCTCTGATTCCAAGATCTTTAACAGCAGTTTGCTAAATTTACTGGTTTTCCAAAGACTTGTTTGTCCCATCCTCCTGCTGACTGAGGAATGTGTTGTCATGAGCATCCTGGTCCTACTCCAGGGTAGTAGTTATTGTTGGTAGTAGTTACTGTTGGTAGTAGTTCTTGTTGGTGGTAGTTATCGTTACCACAATCCTTCCAACAGTGGGGAGTTTTTCATGCCCACTTTGCTGAATTTGTGTTTCTAAACTCTGGTAAAGAGATTTCTCTGAGAAGTGGCTGCAGTTCAATGGTGGATGAAATAATCTCTTTATATAAATTTGTTTGCAGACCTTGGGGAAAACCAATGTAATATAATTGTGAGAATATATTTAATATTAAGGTCGTTGTGAATTGTCTATTTTTTTTTATTTTGAAATAATTTTCATTCTTTTTTTTGTCTGTTTCGTGGCAGTGGTTGAAATTTGCCATGTGCCAAATCCATGGATTGGGATGGGGAGGGTGTTTAGGAAATCAGGAGTAGATTGGGGGGGTCAGTCTTATTGGTTTGGTACTTTGACTTCTTGCAGAAATAGAACCAATTGCAATCTTACAAGAATTTGTAAAATATATCTGAAGATCATGTTTTAATTCCAAAGGAAGAGTCAAACCCATGGTGGTGGAGACCACGTGGAAATCAGCACATCTACATATTCCTTTTCCTTTTGTATCAGGGCAGAGACAAAGCATTTGTCAGGAGGAGACAATGGTTGTGGTTTCTGCTCTTCCATAAAACTACACCCTCATTTGTACAGATTAAAAATAAGTGCTATCTACTTTTCAAATCCACAGTTTCCTGGATTAGGAAAAGGAATGTGAAGCCTCCCTTAAAAATCATAACTGTATGATTTGTTGGTATATGGATTTTTCTATTTAAAAAAAAAATACCAGTAGCTTGAAAAGCAGTATATATGTAAAGAGAAAATTTGTTAACTGATATGGGAAGATCTAACCCTGGGTCACCTGCAAATCTCTCAAACAAGAGCTCCAGGGCAAGTCCTAATTCCAGAGAGTAAAAGGGAAAATTAAAGCTGTAGCTGGTGACTCCTCCAAGTTACCCGGGGTGGATTCATTTGAGTTTCCTTGATTGTGCTGGTGAATAGGATGGGAAAGGGATGGGAGAGGTCTCTTCAGCCACTTCCCGGCCAAAGGATCTCCATGGAGACAGGAACAGAACCTGATGGTCTGTCAAAAGTTGTTTTTCATAACCAGAGGCTTTCATTAAATGGGAGATGAAACAGGAGAGAAACTTTGGCATTTTTAACCAACCTTGGAAAAAAACCTTTTGGAGGGTGTGCTTTGTGGAGTGGTTTATCCAGATACCACTGATATTCCATGGCCTGAGAAACAGGCTGGGAATGGGATGGATTTATTTATCATTTGCCCTCCTTCTGCAAACCACAAATTGTCACGTGCAGTGAGTGAACACGCAGCAGATACAATACAGGTTCAAAAATATCAAATAGGAGATCTAGTTCTGCAAATTTCAAACATTTCACTTGCATGTGAGAAGCTTACAGAAGCTGCTGAGCAATGGGTGTTCCATGGTGAGCAGGGCAGGACTTCGAGATGTTCTTCTGTCAAGGCTCAGGGAGGGTGTTGGTGGTGAAAGGCTTGAAGTGACTTTTCTGAGATGAGAAAGATCATGGAATGGTTCAGTTGGGAAAAGACCTTAAAGCCCATCTCGTTCCACCCCCTGCCACGGGCAGGAACACTTTCTCCTATCCCAGGTTGCTCCAAGCCCCATCCAACCTGGCCTTGGACACTTCCAGGGATCCAGGGGCAGCCACAGCTTCTCTGGGGAACCTGGGCCAGGGCCTCCCCACCTAACCCTGCCCTCTGGCAGTGGGAAGCCATTCCCTTGTCCTGTCCCTCCATCCCTTGTCCCCAGTCCCTCTCCAGCTCTCCTGGAGCTCCTTTGGGCCCTGGAAGGGGCTCTCAGCTCTTCCTGGAGCCTTCTCTTCTCCAGGTGAACCCCCCCAGCTCTCCCAGCCTGGCTCCAGAGCAGAGGGGCTCCAGCCCTCAGAGCATCTCTGTGGCCTCCTCTGGACTCGCTCCAGCAGCTCCACATCCCTCTGATGCTGAGGGGTCCCAGAGCTGGATGCAGGATGTTCTCAGGAGCTCATCAGAGTGTTTCTTGATCCCCTCAAAATGTGTTCTGAGCCCTTTTTTGTCTTCCTCTCACTCGGGGTTTTCAGTTGGGTCACTGCTACCGTTTCACTATTTAAAATTCTTCAAAGAAAATGTAAAAAAACATGACCATGACAGTCTCCTTCCTGATCCCCAAGTTTTTTGGGCATCATGTGGGATAACAACACAACACCAAGCGTTCCAGCTTTGGAGCTGCGGCCACTGCACTTGGATCCCTGAAGATGAACATCTCATCTCCCAGCAGCACATGAAAACCCAACAGCTGGGGAAGGAAAAAAAAGGAGAAAACATGTTATGATAAGTACTTTTAAAAGAGTTTTTAATGTTCAATAAAAGTGGCTGCTTCCCTTTCTCCTGAACTGTGGGCAAAAGGAGAAACAGCGACTGTAAAGTTGTCGGCGGTCAGGTTTGGTTTATGGGTTTCTGAAGCTGCCCAATAATGGGAGCTTGGAAAAAGGTAAACAACAGAGTTTTAACAGTGAAAAATATGCCTAATATAAATACAGCAAAGTTCATCGCCGTTCCCAACTTGAAAAATACGACTGGAACGTTGCATTTGCTGGTGGAGTTGAGGGAGGAGCAGAGCGTGGCCTCACAGGCAATATATCTGAGGCAGGGAAAATAGGTAATACATCTAAGTGGGGAGTCTCGGTGGCATTGCAGAGAGGAGAGCTCAGGAGCTTTATTTAATTGAGAAAATGAATCAATTACAATGATGTTGCATCATCAAATGCAAGGGAAATAGCAGATATGTCATTACATGGGGTAACAGTGTTAAAAAGTAATTGAGTGTCTTAAGCATTTTGAATCAATTCCAGGTACTGGCACAGCCACCTTAATGCAAAATTTATGAAGATGATCTCCAAATAATCTGTGGCTCTCAGAACTGTGTAATAAAGGCTGGGGAGGGGGGAGTGTGTGAGCAGGGACACGGCTGGGCCCGGCTCCGGCCGAGGGTTCCCGTGGCACGGGGAGAATCCTCCACCACTTGGATCTGTGCTGGATCCATCTTTCATTAGGAGCACCCAGGGCTTTTATTAGAAATGATATTTTAAATCTTGGTCTGAAATTGGATGTAATCATCTCCATGTTGGGGCCACTCTAGATGACCCCACCTCTATTCCTTTTCATGACAAGACCTATTTTTCCTGTGAGGAAACGTGAGTGATGCTCTGTTTGGATAAAAATCCGAGTCGCCCGTTCGTGTGCACTAATGTAAAGAAGCTCCAAATCATCCCTGTTGAATAAGCTGAGTCTATTTTGTCATTTAACATCTGGAAGGGAAGGAGGAAAAAAAAGGCTTTTTACAGCCAGGAAATATTTTGCTTATTAGCAATAATGCAAAGCAGCAAATTTATTCTGTTGAGTTGTGATAGATGGAGGTTAACCATTAAAAATGTAACAAGCTGCTTCTGTCTATTTATTATTTTATTTTCTTCCTTGGAAAAAAATAGAATTATCCTCAGAAACTTGATTTTTCTGGGCTGCTAATACACTAATAAAAGACTCGATGTGCTTAACACCAGCTCTTTTCTTGGTGCTGGTTTTCCCCCTCCTCTATATTGCATTTTACTACCTGTAAAGTGTTACTGGAGGATCCTGGGTGTTGGGGGAGAGCACTTCCAAAGCTGATGGCAGCTCAGCAGCATCCCTCCTCATGGCACTGGACAATGGGAATGAGAAATGGAAAGGGAGAGAGCCAAGGAAACGGGGTTGGAAGAACAACATTTTCACCCAGGACCAAGTTCTGTTTGCGTTGGGATCGCCTTGGGTTGGCAGCAACTTTGTGTCTGGTGAGGAAAAAGAGGTAATTAATTATCCACACCCATTAGAAATGGTGTGCACACGGAAATTCTGGGAATAGCAGCGTCCCGAAATCCAGGCGGACGTCTCTGCTCCGGGCTTTGTGTTTCCTTCTTTGTGTTGGGATTCTGCCTTTGTTTCTTTTTGGGAGCAAAAGGTGCTTTGCCAAAGTGGGTCAGGATATTTTGGGGCTCTGTGTAATCAATAGAAGGGTCCGGTGTTACAAACTGTGAATGAATTTCACAACAAAATGGATGTTAAAATTCAGATGATAAATTCAGAAAGGCTCAGAGACGACTAAGAAAAGTCTTCCCTTTGCTGTTTAAAACAATACAAAGTTCCTCAAACTTACTCACGATGTTCTACTGAGAGTGGAAGGAAAACTGGGTTGGAGTAGATCAGAAACTTGGGGGAAAGCGGAGTATTAAAGGCTTTCCTGAGCAGCAGTAGATACTTCAACCACATAATTAAAGTTTTCTTCACAAAAAAGGGATTGTGAGCAGAGCCTGGCAGTAATCCAAAATTCTAATTTCTGACTATGATTTAATTTCAATTTTAAATAAATCGGTTTTTAATTTAAAAAGAGTGAGCTTCATAACATTAGCAATGATTGCAACATTAAGCCCAGTGCTCACAATCTAGCAATATAAAACATTATTTATATCTGAATCGTAAACAGCCTTTTGAAATGGATTATGGTTTTTCTTCCTATTCTAATACAACCTGGAGGGTACTAAAAAGTGTTGTGTGAAATTAACATTCTGCTGACTTTCGCCTATAAATGAGAAGCGAGCTATTAACATTTGTGTATTTTCATTATGTAAATTGTGTTAACACATGCCCACAAATTGCCACCAGCGATGCAATAATTTTCTCTCAGTGATCATAATGTGTCCAAGTGAGTCATTTTGATTATGACATGCTAATTACATATTGTCTTTTTTCAGATTCAGAAAAACCAGGGATCTTTAATGGTAAGCTTTATGAGTTCAGAAAAAAATTCACTTTTCTTTTTCCTGATGGCTGCTCCCTCTGCATGCTTGAATGCCTTGTTTTAAACTTAGCAAATTGCATTTTGAAGAAAATGCAAACCTTTAACTGCCTGTATTAGATTAGGTACCATTAGAAATAATAGAACATCCTGAGCATCAATGTTTTTATAAGAGTTTGCTGCTGTTGATTAATCTTGCTATATTTTATTGCATTAATGATTTTTTCTTTCCACTCCACTGTAAAGATATTGCATATAGGCTAATACTTTTTTCCCCTCTCTCCTTCCCATTGCAGCCTCTCCAGTTATTGCAGTGCATTGTTGATGAGGTGAGTCGTCGTCTTATGTGCTTTCACTCCTAAAGTCATTCCTAATGGACTGGAAAGCTTATATTTTGTTTCCTAATGAAGCACAATGCCCAACATCCTCCGAGCACGAGTTGCCTTGTGCTGCTTGGAGCTCTCAGACATGCACTGGCCTCGTCCCACTTTATGCTGGTTTTCTGCTTTTAATATGGAGCTTTTCAAAGCCTTGAGTGTCTCACAGGCCAGACCTTGGAGCTGTTGAGGTCCTCAAGCCTCAGCTTCAGTTTGTGAGCTGTTCCTCTGCGTTTGCCAATGGGTTGGAACAGAGACATTCAAGTCTTTAACATGGGTGATTTAAGGCAAAAAAAAAAGGATTTTTAACAAGGAGAGAAAAGTGATGTGTGAGCAGGAAAGCATCATCTAATTGTTTTTGTTCAGTCAGAAGGACAGAATAAAAAGCTGGGGTGCAGGAGATGCAGGTGGGAGCAGTAGGCTGGATGTCAGGTGGCAAGCATCCCATTTCTTGAGTGAAACACTTTGCTTGTCCCATCTCCCTCCCCAGCTGAGGTGGGAGCAGGGTCCCAACTCTTGACAATAAGACAGTAGCTGAGGGCAGACTGCTGCCAGTTTTGCTTTGTCTTTACTATTTAATAGGACATTGATGCCAACTGGGAAGTTCCAACAAGAAAAGAGGAGCCATAGCTGTTTAAAGACTTGCCTCAGCCTCTGGCACAACGTCATTGCCAGCTCATCAGGCTGAGGGTCTCAAATGTGTCATCCAGCTACTTCCACCCTGTCCCACGTGTTTGTTGAGCTTGATGTGAGCCAAGTCCTCAGCCTGGGTTGTGTCTCCATCTCCTTGCCTGACCTGCTCCCCTGCAGTGAGTCCTTTCATTAGAGAATGACTTCGTGCCTTAGCTAAACTTCTTTCCCAAAACTGCCATTTGGGCTTTGAGTGATGCCCTCAAATCCAAATGAACAAGTATCCTTTGTGTAAAGGAAAGTTTCTCCCAGTCTCCCAACTCCTTGCCCTGGCTCTTTATGGTGGTCTGGTTCTTTGGGTGCTTTTGAGGCAATTCTGGTTCTTTAATCTTTTCCATCCATCATTATTCCCGTTACACACATCTTTGAGGCACACCAGTGCTGTGTCTACCACCACCAAAAGGCCTTCTCCATCCTCAAGAAGGCCAGTTAAAGATGCTCCTATTTTACCTGTTTTCCTGCTTTTCAATTGGTCCTTGTGCCTGAATCTGAGCCGACTGTTCTCAAACACAGCCCTGAAGAGCTCATATTATGGTAGATTACAGTTGGACTTGATGATCTTAGGGGTCTTTTCCAATCTAAGGGACCTTCTGGCAGCTTTCACATCTTGTCCTCAGGATTAGAATTGCTCCAGTCTTCTCAGAAAAACATTAACTAAGGAACTTCGTGCAGCCTTTAAACATCCGAGTGCCGAGTTAACTTCAACATTAGCATTTTGAGATGTATTTTAGTTTATTTTGTGTCCCTCAGCTCGCCACAGAACTATTATTCTCTTGAGCTGGTGGTTCAGGATGTGCTCTGTGTGTGTGGGCATGTTAAGGCTCAAGGTGACAGAGCACAGCTCAGCTGAAAGTTCTTTAAGTGCCGCTCGCTTTGTTTTGAACACACTCGATGTCTAAATGGAACTCACCTTCCACAACATTTAGAGCCCGGGGGAAGAGCAGAATGGATGGGCTCTGTAGTGTAGTTTGCTCTGTGTGTATTGTTAGGAGGTCATTTAATAAGATATATAATGTTTAGGTGGTGGCTGCCACAACTGGAAGTGCAAATTCTCGGCCTGACGGTGTCGCAGAGAACATTTATATTAAAGGGGTTTTCTGAGCTAGCTCCTGGATAGTGCTGACTTTAACAGCTCCTCCTGCCTTGTGTACAAAGACTTTAGGGCAAAATGTGTTTAACTTGTGACTATTCTGGTTTTTTTTTCTTCTGTAAGAAGGGGAATGGCAGGAGGACCTGCTTATGGGGCTAAAGCTCTTCCACGCGAGGACCTGCTGAGGGGGGAAGTCTCTGTGCTCCTGATATTGCTCAGCTGTTGTTGCCACCATGAGCACCGAGGATTAGAAATGCTTAGTGCTGTAAGACTGATTATTTTGGGTCAAATTTTGCCCTCGGCTCTGAGGAGGTCCTAAAACTCACAGGAGGAGCAGGGCTCCTCTCCTGCTTCACTACGGGAAGCCCCGGATGCTGGTGCTGAATTCCCCACCTGCCTCGATGACAATCAGAACAGCAAGGGATGATCTGTAGGTTGCCTTTTCCAAACAGATGGGGCACAGCAGTGCTCCCATCATGGCAGGGCTTCAGGACGAGCCACGGTGTCACAGGATAAGGGAGGAGCAGATCTGCCAGGGTGGGATCAAGCTGCCTCCAGAACCTGCAGTCTCCACATGGCTCCGTGCCACGGTGGTAATTTGTAGGGATCGTTGCAAAGTTGAAAACTGGGTGTTTTTTTTCAAGTCCCTTCACGTGTATTTTGTTTGTTTCTAGTATATATATTAATATTTCTCATGTGAGGGAGAATGATTTGGACTTTTGGCTCCTAAAATTATGAACCAGCTCTGTAGAAGAGAGCATTTCTTGAAACTGGGTCTTACCCCAGTCCTTCCCCCTGGACCCAGCTGAAAACTCCAGAGCCTGACACAGCAGGACCTAAAAATGGTTTAAAATGATGAAATGGAGACCTTGATTCTTTCTAGTAGTTGCTTGTTATAATGGTATTCACTGGGTTTTTAGAACTGTTAAACCAAAATTCAGTAAGAATCCAAGTTAATGTTCATTCGTAATCATTAATTCATGGGATTAATTAAATTGAACTGCCCAGAGAAACTGTGGCTGCCCCATCCCTGGAAGTGTCCAAGGCCAGGTTGGAGAAGCTTGGAGCAACCTGGGACAGTGGAAAGTGTCCCTCCCCATGGCAGGGAGTGGAACCAGATGAGCTTTAAGGTCCCTTCCGACCCAAACTGTCCTGGATTCTGTGATTTGTCAATGACTGAACTAGTTAAGAGGTTGTTTCTCTATTCCTTAGGTATCTTTAACTTTCATCAAACTCTGTAAGATGGCATACTATGGAATGAAAACTGTCCATGGGAGTTTTTAGATGTTCTTCATAGTGAGATTTTTGGAGCCAGTTTGAAACTCTCAGCTAAATATATGAGACGTGCCGGGTCACTCTGGCAGCTTAAAAAGTCTGTTTGTTCATTTTCTAGGACCCAAATTTACTTTCAGCAATTCTGCAGGATGAATAAGGGATTCGAGAAGCAGGAGAATTGAACAAAAAAAACCTCAGGCACGGGGGTTCTTCTCAAATCCCAGCAAACTGTGCCTGATGTTTGTTGTTGTTAAATCATGTTATCGGGCTGTTAATGACATCGGTTCTGGGATTATTTTTTAATGGCAGAATTAGTGTTGGAGCTTTGTGTGAATAGGGAACATGCCTGCCAGAACCTTTATTTTTTAACATGTGGTGACTTATAGTGAGATCTGATCCAGCTACAAATAAGACACGCTCATTTAAGCAAGTCCTAATTGGAGCAGCATCTCCTACCATGACAAGATTCCTGCTCCTGGTCCAAAGATGAGGATACACTCGTTGGTAATGGAGTTCATCCTGCCACAGCCAGCAATAAAGGCAGGCTGCTGTTATTTGAGAGCTGAGAGCCATTTAATATTCCAGCACTCAACTGAGTTTGTCTCCAACTCCAGGAAAAGCTGTCTGGGAAGCGCTAAGCAGCGCAGATGATTCCCATTGGGAAGGACGCGCGTCGCTTGCTGCGTGTGCAGCCTTTCCAGAACACTCCTGCATGGAGGAGAGTAGAGTCAGGCTGGAAGCAGGAGCTGCTGCCTGGCTTGGAAGATGTCCTAGATGTTGTCCTATCTCTCATGGTCATGCAGCCAGACAATTTGTCGTGGAACAGCATTGTGCTTCCCAAGCACGAGGTGCAGTTTCAGGGAACGGTGAAAAGTTTTTGTCTCGGAATCTGTTCCAGATGATCATTTGGAAATACAAACCACAGAGCCCCAGGAGCAGCTGGGGGAGCTGGGGGGGCTCAGCCTGGAGAAAAGGAGGCTCAGGGGGGACCTTCTCACTCTCTAAAACCCCCTGACAGGAGGGGGGAGCTGGGTGGGGTCGGGCTCTGCTCCCAGGGAACAAAGAACAGGAGGACAGAGAACAGCCTCCAGCTGTGCCAGGGGAGGGTCAGGTTGGACATCGGGAAGAATTTCTTCCCAGGAAAGGTGATTAGACATTGGAAGGGGCTGCCCAGGGCAGTGCTGGAGTCCCCATCCCTGGAGGTGTTGGAAAAACATGGATGGGCACTTGAGATCAAGGTTTGGTGGTGAGTTGGCAGTGGGAGTTGATGATCTTGAAGGTCTTTGCCATTCATTTTGGTTTCAAAGCTGCCATGGTTTGTCTCCCTGCAGTGGTGATTTAACTGTTGCTTTTGGTTTATTTGCTTTTAATTGTATTGAATTAAGGAGAAAAAGAACTCAATTTTTGTCTGTCAGTTTTAGGTAAGTTAATTGAATGTTTGGACAATGTTCTCAGGGGCAGGGTGGGATTGTTGGGGTGTCCTGTGCAGGGCCAAAAGTGGGACCCTGATCCTGATGGGTCCCTTCCAACTCAGGATATTCCATGATTCCATGATTGTATTATTCCAATTACTTTAGAAGCTTGGGGGGGAAAGGCTTCCAAGAGCAAATCCTGTTTCTTACAAATAGGAGGCAGCATTGCAAAACCTGCCTGTTTTAACGAGTCAGGCAGAAATTGAGAAGGAAAATTAATTAGTTGTCCTCACAAATCCTTACCCTGATAGCTTCATGAGTAAGTAGAGAGAAGCTTTCCATGAGTTTCTTGAGCATTTCTGTTAAGTGCCCCCACAGAGATACTCGGTCTCACAAGACTGCAGTTTAATCTAGCTCAAGGACTTTCCAAACTCCACAAATCAAAGACCTCTTTTTTCTTTTTTTTTTTTTTGTCTCTTTTTAAA